TTATTAATGTGTTCAAAATCTCGATCTCAAAATTCAAATGCATAAAAGAAGAAAAAAAGATTAACATCATCTTAAGAGATTCAATACATAAAGAAAATTATGGAAAGAACAAAATCAGGAGTAACAAAAGTAGTGGAATGTTGTTGGCTGCTTTTGGTTTTAGATGAGCCTACTCTTGACTTCAGCCAAACAGCCCCACAGGCCCCAACCCACCTGCCTCCACAGCACTCACCTCCGTGTCTTCAATCTCAATCTCACACACGTTTAGCAGTCAAAGGGGTTGGTGTTGCTTGGCATCATGAAGCTTTATGCTACCACCCCTTCATTCCTGGGCCTCCTCAGAAACCCAAAATCCCCACAATAACATTTTACTCCGTATTATGTAAACCCCAACTTTGAACGACTAATATCTGGTGCTGGTGGGAACGAATATTTGCCTTTTTCTTGTCTGATTTCTCTTTTGACCCCAAAAGATTGCATCTTTGGCTGAAATTTGACTGGCTGAGTTCTTGGGTCACTATGGAGGGGGAGAGTTGTGGTGATGGTTCCAACTCAAAGATGGAAGACTATGAGTTGCTGGGACAGATTGGGAAAGGGGTTCATGGATCAACGTTCCTTCTTCTTCATCGAGCTGAAAATAGGAAGTTAGAATCTTGCATCTCTTTTTTTTTGTCTTTCCTGTTTTGTTGCTTCAGTTGCACTGGACATAAACTAGGGCTCGTGTGGCTGTGTATTATTTTGAGTAAAATGGTTGGTTTTGACCATCTGCATCTCATTTCCAAGATGTTAATTTCTGCTGAGTATTTCTCGGTTAGAATCTAGACTTATTTATATATAAAAAATCTTCTTACAATTTCTGGTGAGTGTTTTGACCATCTGCACACATGAGCAATTGCAAGAAGTTTTTTTTCTTCTTTAAACAAATTGGGATCCCTCTGGCACTCCAAAATTGGTTCTTTATTCCTTCTTTCTTTCTTAAAAAAAACAAAACTCAACATTAATCCTTCTGTTTTTCAATACTTTCTCCTTGTGGGTGTAATTGCTCATATTTTCTTCACCATGTGTAGTTTCCAGATTTTTGTTTGCTTCTTTGTCTGGGTTTTCAATATATTTTGGTTGTGTGTGTTATATATGATAATATAGGACAGCTTATAACAAATTGTGATAAAGTGGCAATCTTTAAATATGATTGAATATACTCCGTATTAAATAGGATGTATTTATGGTAACATTTACAACTATAGATGAATGCAGTCATTTGAAGTAATATAGCCACAAGTGTATTACATTATGTTCTCAAGATTGTGCTACAACAGTTATTTTTTATTGAAAAATCTGCATGATACGGAGTATAAGATTGGTTCTTATAGATTTTTTTTCTTATTTTTCCTTATTTATATGATTAGGTATGCTCTAAAGAAGATTCCATTGGCAAAACAGACTGAGATGCTCAAGCGGGCGGCATATCAAGAGGTCCAACACCTACTTTTTCTAATTACTGATATATAAACACCTTATTTTTGATCTCTTCTTCTGCTTCTTTAGCCTTGTATAGTTGTATTCGACTTGGCTTAGCTTAACAATCTTGCTTAGTACTTGCATTAAAAGTGTGATAAGGACTTCCCTAGATGATGTCTCTCAAGTCTTATAGGGTTTAACCAACTCATTTATGAATTTATTTTCTGCAGATGAATTTGAATGTGAAACTAAGGCACCCATACATTATGGAGTACAAAGATGCATGGGTGGAAAAGGTATTTGACAGTTCTTTGCTGCTAAAATGTTTGTTGAGATTTAGGATCAAAACCATGATTGACCCTTGGTCTATGTCTCTGATATCTTTTTGCTCCCCAAGCACCAAAAATATATATAAAAAAAAGGTGCCTAAAGGATTAAAGTGTTATTTTTCATCATCAGATGATGGGCTATCATGGTAGAAGCCTTTATCTAGAGACCAAGATTACATACATGCCATAGTTTGGGGACTAATTATATATTATGAGATTTCAAAGCTGCTGTTGAATAAAGAGTCTCAATTTGCATTATATTTCAGGGAAGCTATATATGTATCATAACCAACTACTACGAAGGCGGAGATATGTGAGTAGTTATTGCAATTCTTAAAGACACTATATTTACCTTTAGCCAGATATGATTCGAAGAGGCATGAATTCAGGTTTACAAAACATTGACTTGGAATAAAACTTGCTGATGACGTGCGCTTCAATGTTTGATTTGGTTTCACAAAATACTTAGAGATCATGTACGAATTTAGGTTTGTGATCGTATATTTACTTCATTGTTTTTTGGATTGTTCAGGGCGGAGATTTTAAAAAAATCCAGAGGAGCGTTGTTCTCGGAAGAGGTAAACAAGATTCAAATTTTGCCTATAGCACACTTTTATTTGGGACCCTTTGCAATTCCTTGAGGAAAAATTATGCACCGGGCTTCCTTTTTGCCTTTATCATTTATAAATCTTTTTTTTAATCTGGTGTAGAAACTCTGCAAATGGTTGACTCAGATGTTATTGGCTCTGGATTATCTGCATTCCAATAGAATCCTTCATAGAGATCTGAAGGTATAAAATGATCAAACTCATTTTTAGGTAGCTCTTAACTTTTAAGATGGCATCAGTTTAGGACCCGAAACCTACGTTAGCTGTTAATCAAGGACACAGAAGCTGAAAACTATAGAGTATCAGTTTAGGACCTGCACAATCAAAACTATCTATCAATCTAAGACAAAAAAATCATGAATTTCAAATATTTCTACTTTAAATTGTTTATACTTTGATTTTTAATGAAATTTCCTTTACGGGTTAAATGTTGAATTTAATGAAGAACGTTTAAAATGTATAAGAAAATAAAAAGAATGAAAAATCATGATATCTTTAGTCTTGGATTGATAGTTCCATTCATTTAGCTTCTTAATTGGTTGATCACCCCTCTTTCAGTCTGTTGTAATATGATATGAACTTGTTTGATTGCAGTTGTCCAACATTTTCATCACAAAGGAAAATGATGTCCGTCTTGGTAAGAAGAAGACAACCGACTGATTAAGAGCCATTTGATTTTCTAAACTATGATATGATCTCAATTTTTTATTGAAATACTTTCGAATATTTTCATCATAGGTGATTTTGGATTTGCAAAACTTGTGGATGCAAAAGGTGTCACTTCCTCGGTATGAATTGCCTCTATCCATCCGAAACAACAGTCGCAAACTTATGCATTTTTAATGGCTTTCTTTCTCACCTGGAAAAAACAGGTCGTTGGCACTCCGAACTACATATGCCCTGAGCTCCTCTCTGAAATGCCATATGGCTACAAATCTGATATTTGGTCCCTTGGTGAGAAATACACTAAAGAATGCTTTCTTGTTCATCTGGTTGGTTCAGGAATGATGACACACCTTTACTTCTTTTTAGGTTGTTGCATGTTTGAGATTGCTGGGCATCAACCGCCTTTCAGAGCACCCGTAAAAATTCTTTCATCTAAAGCTTTAAAAAATTAACCCACTTAAAGAGTTAAATATCTTTTCTTGATTTTATATTGGGGAGATGGAAATTAACAACACCTGGATTTGAATAGGACATGGCCACTCTCATCAACAAGATAAATAGGGGCACTTTATCTCCACTTCCTGTTGTGTACTCGTCCACCTTGTAAGCTGTTCTTATTCATTAGGGCATTTTAGGGTATGTTTGGTTGGACAGTTTTTGTAGGAACCTTTTGAGGGCTTGTATAATGCTCAAGAATCAAGATATAGAGCGAGCCCTCCAAATGCCCATATCCAAACAGAACCTTGGACAGTATTATTTTCTAATATTATTCGATTAACGGTACTGAGTTCAACCATTGTAGGAAACAGATCATAAAAACCATGCTAAGGAAGAGCCCAGAACACAGACCAACAGTAAGTGCAAAATAGAGAGTACTCGTATATATCGTTAGGTATATTATAAATGTACAATAATGGAAAGCGTTTGTGACTTACATGCCTCAAAAATAATAGGCAGCAGAGTTATTGAGGCATCAACATTTGCAAGCCCACCTTCTTAGATGTCAAAACCTCCCCTCGGTGTTTCTCCCTGTGAAATCTCCCAACAGTGCCAAGGAGAAGACAGGAGGAAAGCCTTCTCCCAGCAACTCTACCAGCAGACAGAGACGGCAATACTTGAAAGACAGCATTCCTATTTTTTCGCTCAACCAAAGCCCAGAGATCCAACCAAGCAGCACCTCTCAAAAGAAGGGCGATCTCGTCATAGAAGCCGAACTTGAGACCAAGAGGGTTGACCGGAAAAGCTGTTCTCCAAAAATATCTGAATATAGCGACGAAGAAAGCTTGAGCACTCCAATGTCCTCTTCTGCTTCAGTCCTCCCAAACTCAAACCGGGAAGTGGCTAATGAAACGCCTGTACAGAAAGAAGACAGACAAGAAGATGGAGAAAGAGAATGTGATGAGAAGACACGGAGGAGGAATTCGTTGCTGAGTAAGCTTACAGCACTGGCAGAGAGCAAAGACGAGTGGGGAAATCCGACTAAACAAAGAGCAGATGCTTTGGAGTCTCTGCTTGAGCTCTGTGCTCAGCTGATCAAACAGGAGAAGTTCGACGAGCTTTATGGCGTGCTTAAACCATTTGGAGAAGACGCGGTCTCGTCCAGGGAAACAGCCATCTGGTTGACCAAAACCCTCATGACCTCTCAAAAGCTTCCCAAGGGGTCCTGATTTTTAATACCCCATCTTGTCATATCATGCTTTGGCATATATAAATTTGTTTCTGGAGAGTTTTGTTTTTGTTCTCATTTGAAATTACACTGAATGATTGGATTCATGGGGATACTGTTATGCTAGCATCTTTTTTTTATATGGGATAGTGGGGCATGTAATATTGTAATGTAAATTAGCAGGACTTAATACATGGACTAAGGCTTGATGATGAACATTGTTTAGTTTGCATCATGTTTGCTAGTATGTTATATTGTGTGAAATGTGAATATGTATCACACACATTGTTATTCATAATCAAGAACCAATTTAAAAGCACTCCTTCCATATGAGTGGCATGCTATGTTTGTTTCATTTCTGACAAGAGAGTTGTGCAAGCATAGCAACAACTTCTTCCATCTCCTTCAAGCTTTTGGCTCTCACGTTTTTCCCGATCACTTGCACGTTCCTTCTTACGATGTCTCCTACTTTCCCATGAATGATGCCACTAATGGCTCTAGCCACGTCTTCATGGCGAAACCTTCCGGTGCGGTCATCCCTCACGACCTCAACGCCAACCCCAATCTCCACAATCAGTCGACTTCTCCTTTTTTTCTCCTAACCATTCCATGACCACCTGGAAACTGTTGTTGTCATTGTCGTCTTGTTCGTAGCGAACCAGGGTCCCGAGTGGCAATATCTTACGACCTCCTAGCAATTGACTCATATAGTTAATATATTTCCCCTCCATCTCCCTCGACGTAGTCATCAAAATTACCTTCGCATCCTCGGTGTCGCGACAACCATCCAACACAATGCCCCCTTGGGCTTGGATGATCGTCCGGATCATCTCTTGGTCGTGGAAGCTCAGACGACGACCGAGCTCCGAAACAGGGTACTCCTCCTCCTTGCCACCATCATGGGCGTTCTCCTCCCGGAGCAACGTGTGGATTACGTAGGAACATGAAGCGGCACCAGAAGTGAAAACCTGAACGGCGGGAACACTGTGGGACCCAGCTATCGGTGCTGCCCACGGGTTGAGAGCGTCGTAGATGAGCAAGTTCGGTCTCAGGGTTGTCAAGGCGTCGGAGAAAGCGGGTTCGGACTCCCTAAGGGCTCTTTGGAGGGTGAGGTTGAGATGGGGCGGGAGGCCGTTGGTGGTGTGGCGGTGTGGCGGGAGATCCGGGGATTCTGGCAAGTGAAGCTCCACGAGGTGGATTGAAGAGTGGGTGTTGTGTATGAAAGTAAGATTGATGGGAGTGGAGAGAAGGTAGACATGAAAGCCTTTTTTGGAGAGTTTCTTGGCCAACTCAAACAAGGGAGTGATATGTCCCATGGCCACAAATGGGAAAATCAAAACCTTTATCCCATTCCCAACCTTCTTTTGTGTGTCCACCATATGAAGATGGGGAGTGTGTACCATATAATGTATCCGCACGTAGTTTAATTTGTTTATTCTTTAGGTGTGGTATATTGCTTCAAAGTTGTGACAATTATGGTTCACCGCATGTATGTATTGGTCTATATATTTATAGAGAATTGATGGAATATGTGAATATGTTAAAAGGGAAGTATTTATTTAGGGAGTATGTAAATACTACATCAAACTACATCCTTCAAATACACATTTTAAGAGTTACACAATACTCATTTTGTTGGAATAAAATTTCGGACATAAATTTGGTGGGGTCCAAAAGATTATTTCTCCAAAATAATTATAGAGAATTAATCTTCTAAATGAGACGAGTGTTTCAATATTGTGTGCCAAAACACCAAGTTTCCCATGACATTGGAATCCAATGTCATGGGAACCCACCCGTGCCAAAAATAGTGCTCGATTAAATAAAAAATTACTCCGTAATTCACAAAGTTGGACACTTGGAAAGAGTAAAACCCACTAGTCCTACATCGGATATTAAATCTTTCATCTTCCACTATTTATATGTTAGCATTAAAGTGCATTGTAAAGCAATTTGAGGAGGAAAGGAAGGACCCATTCTACCGCTTTAAACTTAAAAATTGCACGTTAGTAATTTTATCTTTCTTTATTTCTTTCCCGCTATAATATTTTACAACACATTTCACATACAAAGTTTTTATTTATATCTATATAAGGAGGGCTAGTTGTAGTGAAGAAGACACACACTCGAATACAGAAACGCTTTGTGTCCAAATCTCTCTCAATTTCCAATCTATTTTCCGGCAAGAAACTCTCTTACGTTCATGTTTGTCGGCTTTATCCTGGGAGGGGATCGTTCACGTAGCCAGTGCAGGAGGCGAGCGATACTCCCTTAAGGAAAGCTCTGGCAACTACGCTTTCCTTACAGTTTGCAGGTTCTCTCCGATCACTACTTTCCAGGTTGAGAAGCTTCAAGATCCAATTGTCTTCGACCACCGACATCCACTTTATTTTAATTTTTCTTTATTTCTTCCATTGTAAAATCCAAATATAGTATAAACTCAGATTATCTTTCTTTATTTCTTTCCCGCTATAATATTTTACAATACATTTCACGTACAAAGTTTTTATTCATATCATTATTTGTGTTAAATATATTCTATATTTAATGTAAATATATTGTTTCCTATTATTGTCTCCTACCTTGTATAGGATTAGGAATATATTGTTTCCTATTATTGACTCCTACCTTGTATAGGATTAAGAACCCTTGTGTATATATAGACATGTACTCCCACATATTCAATCAATGAAATTAACCTTTCTACATGGTATCAGAGCTAAGGTTGTGAGTGATGTGAGGAGAGATAAGGATATTTTTAAGGGATAAGGAGGGGGTAGTGGGGAGGGTATGGCTGCCAACAGCCGTAGTGCTTACTTTAGATCCATTACCAACAGTGATATATAATGGTGAATATAAAGATTGAGAATTAACATGAGAAATAGTACCTGGGTCAGAGGCAATGTGATGGGATGCACCGGTGTCCATATACCAAGTGGGTTCACGGAGGGACATAGTGTCAAAGTGATGGGCTAGGGCTGTGGGGGTGG